TTTCCCCCCCCCCCCCCCCCCTCTCTCAGTAGATATATTTTTCTCTGAATGGCAATAACTTATTATGGTCTAGTAGGTTCATAAATTACCAGGAAAAAAAAGGACCATCTATTGAATAATTGCGCCCCAATAAGGCAACAAAGGACAACCAGCAAATTTTTCTGAAATATTTAAAAAAAATAAAAAATTCACAAATGATTGATCAAATTCATTATTTATTTTTTATCAAATGATATATATAAATAATATAGAACTGATTATGCACAAATATATCCGTTGGGTATTTGTGATTTAAAGAGTTGAATTGCCGGCTATTTAAGTTAATGAAAGACTATACAAATTGGACCTATTAGGTAAAATATTTATTCAAATTGGATCAAATCCAATATATATTTACCCTGATTGGACCCACAAGCCATACTATTTACTTGACTCCTCTTTGTTCTATTTACTGAACCACTGCTGATACCATGGATTATATATATATACTCTGATGGTATTTATATACTTTAATAGTATCAAATAATAATTGAACCGTGAAGCACTATATATACCCAATTTTTGTCAAGTTAGGGCCTAATATGGAAGGCCCAATATAGGAATGGATTGTCGCTGTCCAAAGCCCAAGGAATGGAGAATCTAAAGAAAGCATATCGGTGCCATTCATTTCAAGATTGATGTGGCCCACTGATTATATCACAAAAACAAAAATATATATAAGTTTTTTTTCTTGATAATTGTACAAGTCCATCTGTCAATTTTATCATTATCTGTGTGTGTAACTCACAAAAACCCTTTTGATTTCGTCTAACCCCAAATCTCCCATTTACTCAAGACTCTCACTTTTTTGGGTTACTTCTCTATCTCTTTGTAGCCATGTCTGAGGTATATATATCATCACACTTCAATTTCTTAGATTCTTGATTTTGTTTTGATTCAAATCAAATCTTGTTTTCTGTTCTTGATTTGTTTTCTTGATTCAAGATTGGATTTTTTGAATTGGGGTTTTGAGATTTTTGAGGGATTGCTTTTGTTTTGGTAAAAGAATCTTGTTTCTTGATATTTGTATGTTTTTTCTTGATTCATATAACTTTAATTTAATTATTTCAGGGAGAGAAGGTTTTGCCGACTGCATCCAAAGGTATAATTCATCGTTCTTCTGATTGATTGATGTAATATTGAATGTTTAATTTTCATAGTAGCGTGTGAATTTTTTTAGTTATATGTATGAACTTAATTCCAAAAAGGTATTCTTGAAGGATGAGGTTCCATGAGGATAATTGTTGACCTGTGGTGAAATGGGATGTAGTGTGTGGATGGAAGTGGGATCATTGACATTAGCTATTTTAGTTATTTAATCGAAAGTAATTTTGTCTTGATAAAAGCACAATGATTTGAATATGCTGAATGTAGAAGCAATCGTGTGAAAAGTTAGGACTATTTGGATGCTGTAGAATCAACCAAAAAATGTGCTACTTATGATCGAGTAAATGGCACATAGACCAACAGAGTTGACATTTCTACTAACTTGGTTGGAAGGCATGTCTCAACCTCCAATAATACTACTATCTTAATTGGTGCATATAATGTTTTGTATCAGTTAATTTATACATATGACTTATCAAAAAATGTGAGTATGACCAGATATGATTCGTGTGTGTAATCAGCAACGCCTCAGTCCAAACTGATTGAGGTTGACTATAATATGCATGTGTGCACTTTCGTATATCTATGGGTCAGGATCAGGATGCCAGACAGAATACTTGTAGTTTTCTGAATGTTGGTTGCCTGCTGTCTATCATTGTTTTGGAACATCGTTTTGTCTAGATTTTATTTATTTTATATTTTCTCATGACTTGGAAATATCATATTGCTGGTATTTTGAGCTTTACAACTTGTTGTACCTCCTACCAAAGATGACACTTTATAGCATCATGAGTGCTCTAGAAAGTTGTCTTGTAATTAGTTCTTTCTGCTAGAAAAAGTAATTGCTATGTGGAACACAGTTTGAAGAAAGTTCAATTTTTTTTTTCAGATGAGAAGTCTGGGGCAGCTGAGAGTAAAAAATCTTCTGAGTCTTCCACCATGGAAGCACCATTAGGAGAGGGGAGAACAGCCTCTACTGCTGCGGCTGGAGCTGGGGTCCAAAATCCCTTTGATTTCTCAGCCATGTCTGGACTACTCAATGTACATACACGTTTCTATGCAGAATAAAAGTTCTGTTATGTTCAAATATTTTAAATAGTAAATATAATTACATATTTAATCTCATTTTGGTTGAATACATGGTATTTGAGTTTTAATAGTACAAATGGCTTACAAACTACTTTGATGGAAAAACAAAGCTCCAACACTTGGTGATAAACTATTAAAATTATATCTTAGTAATGTAAAATAGAAAAAATTTCTATTACCATCAACTTGCAATCAATTATACTTTTAATTTTGCTGCTTTTCTTGTCATTTTATTTTTGTTGATTGACAAACTTTGAATTATTTATGGTGTCTTTTGGTTTATTCTGCACATCTCTTTTATGTTGTGGCTGATGTAGGACCCAAGTATCAAAGAACTAGCAGAGCAGATTGCAAAAGACCCTGCATTTAACCAGATGGCAGAGCAGCTTCAGAAGACCTTTCAAGGTGCGGCAGTGGAAGAAAGTGTCCCCAACTTTGATAGCCAACAATACTACTCTACAATGCAACAGGTTATGCAAAATCCTCAGTTTATGACCATGGCTGAGCGGCTTGGTAATGCATTGATGCAGGTATCTTTTTGCCTCATGTTGTACGAGCCACTGGATTTCTTAATGAGAAATGTTTATTTCTTTGAGTGATTGGTACATGATTTCCTTACTTGTTTTACTTCAGGATCCATCCATGTCTGGCATGCTTGAGAGTTTGTCAAACCCTGCTCAGAAGGAGCAACTTGAAGAACGGATGGCGCGCATTAAAGAAGATCCATCACTCAAACCAATCTTGGAAGAGATAGAGAGCGGAGGACCAGCTGCAATGATGAGGTCATATCTCCTATTTGTTCTTATTTAGGTTGCGTTGACTATTCTTTTCTCACTTCTGGTCAACCAGAACTTGAGTGATATCCTATACTTTATTAAGCATGGGACTTCACTTGCTAATTTAAATAAATCTAATCAACATTCCAACCTTTGCAGAATATATTCAAAAAAAATTCCTCGTCACATTTTATCTTCTAAATGAACACATTGCTACAAATACTAATTTTGCAGGTTCCTTTCCGTCTGTAACAGTAAGGTGATAAAATGAACATGTAATAGTTAATTTGCTAAGCTTCTGGCTTGAGGTGTTTCTGCAACACTTTTCCTGATATCTGTAGCCTTTTTTGTGGGGTATGTTGCCTTTTCTGTTAGGTGTAATACAATTGTAATGGTTGATTTTCTTTTCCTTCCTTTTTTCAGGTATTGGAACGATCAAGATGTTCTGAAGAAGATTGGTGAAGCAATGGGTTTTGCTGCTGGAGGAGAGGGTGGTGCTACCTCTTCTGAAATACCTGGGCCAGATGAAACAGAAGAGGCAAATGAAGATGAATCTGTTGTTCATCAGTGTGCTAGTGTTGGTGATGCAGAGGTGCTTTTTAAATTCAACTTCCTTTGGCTGTCGGGGGGGCTTAAACGTAGGGATGTGGTAGTTCTATTTTGCAATTTTGTTCAGATACCTTTTACTTGTTCAGAATTTCTTCTGCTTCTAGTCTGAAATTACCCTTCTGACAACTCCGTGCATGCAATATGTGTTTCTTAAATACACTTATGATCCCTTTGATGTGAACATTTTAAGTACACTCTGGTGAATTACACATTTTCTTATTTTTCTCTTTGCTTTTATTATGAACAATCCTGTTCATTTTTTCTTATATCAGAAAGCAATTTTGTGTCAATATGCCTATATTTTCCTTTTCCTTAAAATTGAATTATACCTATGATCACATTACAGACTTACAGTATTGTCCATCTAAATGCATAATTGCTTTAATTGGAGTTTAGGGCTTGAAGGCTGCACTAGCTGCTGGTGCTGACAAAGATGAAGAAGACTCGGAAGGAAGGACAGCATTGCATTTTGCTTGTGGATATGGCGAGGTAAGAAGTTGATGGATATGATCTTCATATTGGACCTTCAGTATATTCATGTACACATATGCTTCAGTTTGCTACTTAAATATTTCTAGCTTTCCAGGTGATCCTTTTTGGCTTTCTTATGGATCTATCAACGTTTCGAAGCTCCTTTCAGGGGAATTAGTTCTTTCGAAAAGCACTAATTACTTCTCCTTTAGAATTTGTGTACTTTGGAGCTCTTTTCTATTTTACGTTTTGTTTAATTCTGACCATTTTTATTGTTCTGAATGTGTCCATATGCCCTGATGAAATCTGATCCTCAAACTTACCTTTTTTTTATAAACTGTTTTGGAAGCACTCTTTTTGCTTCAGATTCAGAGTGAGGAAAGCATTATATACTTCTACCGGGTGTACTTTTACTTTATTTTAAAAAAGAATTATATACTTCCGGGTTGGGTTGAGGGGCACAATAACCATATCATTTTACCAGCAGTCATCAATCAGAAAAAAAAAATGAAAAAATTTCAACATCCTCATATAAGGAAATTTCCATATTGTCGAGATAGGAGGTTTAAGGTTGATAACATGTTATTTGAGAGTATATTACCATTGAAGTAAGCCAATGTTTCATCAAATTTCTTCAGAGATTAAGTGGTTGTTTATTTTATTTATTTCAGGTGAAGTGTGCTCAGCTCCTTGTTGAAGCTGGGGCAAAGGTTGATGCATTGGACAAGAACAAGAATACTGCTCTTCACTATGCTGCTGGATATGGTAGGAAGGAGTGTGTAGCACTTCTGCTGGAGAACGGAGCTGCTGTGTATGTTTTACTTTTCTACAATCCTGCTGTGATATTGGTTTTGCCTCACATGTCTCATTATGCTTTATTTTCTTGTCCAATATACTGGATTTGATGAAACACACTATATGCTTAACACATGCAAGTCGAAGTAAAAGCTTTTCTTTTGTTTGTGCAGAACTCTTCAAAACTTGGACGGAAAGACGCCAATTGATGTTGCCAAACTCAACAACCAGCAGGATGTCCTAAAGCTGCTTGAGAAGGATGCATTTCTGTGAACTGGCATAGATGTTTGGTCATGTACAATTGAAACTTTGGATGTCACAGAGTGTGATTCAAGACATCTGTACTTTGAGGATCTTAGGGATCTTATCCATACTTGATGTGTTATCTTTGCCAGTGTATAATTTTATTGTTTTTCTAAGATTGTGCCTGTTCGAAGAATTTCCTCTGGATGTTTTGTATTTGTAAACATCTTTGCTACCATGTTAAATTAACCTTCCAAATTTTTTTCCGAATTGATATAGTAGTTTTTGTCTCTACCTTTACAACGTAGGGGTAAGGCTACATACATCCCACCCTCTTCAAACCCCCCTACTTGTGGATGAGTTTCCCAAGACTTTTAAGACACCAGCCAAGAGAGCTTTGTGTATGATGTGGGTGTAAAAAGGGGTAGGATGGTAATACATTGTTCTTATAATGGTGGTGCTTGAATTGACTTGTGTATTCTCAATTAAACATTTTTCAGGGTGTTGATACATTTTAGCCCATGAGGCTCGAGTTTGAGTTTTGGATGGTAAATGGTCAATTTGAGCCATTGATTCGTAATAATAATCTCCCCTAACAATTCAAGAGTTTGACCCAAGTTGATGAGTTCAACATTTTTTTGCCTTAGTAATTTCTAGATAATTTTTTTTAAATTACACTTTTATGTAGTATCGAAGATCAATATAAAATAATACATAAACTGAGTAAATTCTTAAAGGAGAGCAACATAACTAAGGGTAAAATAATCATAATTTTCTTCTAATTAATATTTTTCTATTTTATATTAGTCAAAAATTATTTACCAGCCTCATATAATCTTGAAGAGTCCTATGTCTAATGAAAAACGAAAAAGGATAAATTGGTCTGATTTAGGCAATCTTTTTTCCACACGAGCTAGCTTTTGGCCATTATTTTCCCCTAGTAATTCAATTCATAGGTAGTTCAATATTTTTTCTTTTTCTATTTACTTTTTTCGCGAACAGTGAAACCTTTTTTTTCCTTGGTATAGTCATCGCTCATCTTCCTTTGCAAGCGACTCCATTCATAATCTCTCTTTCTGTGTATTTGCTTTGTACAAGAAAACTCCCATTTGTGTATTTCAATCATTCGGCCCTGAAAAACAGAGAAAAGAAAAGAAGAGACCCACAAAATATATCTCTATTTCTTCACTTCCTTCCACTTTTTAGGGTTTATTTTCTCGTTATGCCCCGGGAAAGATCCATTCTTTCTTTGTTATAACAGGTAATTTTCAGTATATATCTTCTTCAATTTGATTATTATTTTAGTGGATAAAGTTTTATACTTTAGTTTTTTTTTGTTTGGTCTAAGGGTATATATGTGTTTGAACTTGGTTTGGGCAGATGGGGTTTTGATTCTTGTAATATTATTTTGTTTTGGTCTAAAGTTAATACTTGTTTTTGGAATTGTTGTGGGGGTGTGGTTTGTGAAGCTTGTTCTTTGTATTTTTGTTGGTCTAAGGTTACACATGGTCTTTGAATTGTTTAGGTGGGTTCTGATTCTTCTTATTGCAGGTGAATTTGTGGGTTTTTAGATATAACTATTTGAGGAAGAGATGGGTAGAGGTAGGGATAGGGATATATCAAGGTCTAGATCGAAGTCGCCAGCATATAAGAGGAGATATTCACGGTCACCCTCGCCTGTGGTGCGCAGACATAGCCGAAGAAGCAGGAGAGATAGAAGCAGATCCCCTTATGCTTATAGCAGGTGATACCCATTGGCATAAATTGATTTATGGATTTGACATATATGGATTTTCTCCTTATGTTAAATGTCTTTGGTTTGTATGTTTTTTATATGTACAAGAATTTGTTGTTTTATTATTCTAATAAAGCTCACATGTGTTTGCTGATTCACCTACAGTTTCGTTCAGGCAATGTGTACGTGTTTGATTCTTGATAACTGTTGGTTTTTATCTACCGTTTATTGGATGGACTTGCTGCGTTGATCAAAAAGGATTTTAGGATTTTGTAGTGACAACATTGGTCTAAGATGTGGTGGGATTGATGATTGATCATTTTTGCTTGTATTTTAAAAACTTTAAGAGGAATTTCTAGTGACTTTCTTTTGACAAAAGGCCTCAATTTTCATTTCATTTGGTCAATTTCCATCACTGGATATCTAGCTCTGTTCTCAAAGCGGGGAGATAGGGGGTGCAGATGTGTTTCGTGCTTCTGCTGCCACTATTGACTTCATTTTGTTCAGATTGGTATTTGCTCATCAAAATCCACTAGCCTTTTATTATATGAGTTAGTGGATTTCTACAAAATCAAGTTATGTACTTGTCGAATTGACTTCTTGCTGCTACTAAGAGTTTTCAATGCCTGTGATCACCATAGTTAAAATCTTTGTGGTTCTCGGTGTAATATGCTTTATTGTAAGCTGGTTCTTGCGCTGTTCAGCTGCAAATTTTAGTCCTCGGTCAGATTGCAATTCTGACGATATGCATGATCCTAATGAGTAGAGTTAATAATAGAAACCTAAATGTAATACCCGGTGCAAACTATGTTCTTCAGTGAGAAATTAAAAGAAGTAATTGCTTCCCTTCATGGGAAGCAAGCAGGTCATGGGTGCCGGTGAGTGTCCATTGGTTGCTCGATTGTGATATTAGCTGTTCCTATGATAAAAGACGGAGCTCGAGTTTATTCTTTGCAATTCATGAGGTAACTGTACATGCTTTAGTATCTAATTGATTTGGAGGACTGGTTAGTATGTCTGGGGATTTGTATGTTGTGTGGTGCCAATATATGTTGTTGCTTAAATGTTAATCATTGTTATACAGAAAACGAAGTCGTTCATTGTCCCCTAGGCGCCGCAAAAGTCGTTCTCCAGCCACCAGACGTCATAAGAGTCGCTCTCCAAGGAACCATAGGAGACAGAGAAGTAGGAGTACCTCATTGTCTCCTATTGGTAAATCACCTGGTTCAAGTATCGGATTGAAAGAGCAAAAGGGTATCAGTGAAAAAAATAAACTTGATGAAGAGGAGAAGAAAAGGTACTGCTGTATTTGTAAAGCTTCTCATTTTCTGTAGCTATTTCTGTCTTGTATTTTTCCTTTCCATCTCTTCCTCATCTTAGAGTAAGCTATGCTGTTGTTTTGAGTATCTACCTATAGAATTAGAACTTCTTTTATACACTCTTTCAACTTTAAGCATACACCTCTAGTTTCTGTACTGTTTTCCTGAAACCAATTGTGGATAAATGGAAATTTTGTTTAGAAATGTTTACACTGGGGCCACTGGAGAGTTTTTTTCTGATTAGTTATAATGGACTGACCTTTGGAGACTACAGAACAGAATGTCAGTTCTTTAATTGAAAGATTTTTGTGATGAGCCTGATGATGAGGTAGATGTAGGATCGGATAGTGGGAATTTTGGCGCTTTACTCCATTGCCTGAAAATGAGAAGATTTTTATTGTTCATGAAAGCTCAGTTCTAAAATTAAAATAAACTTGGTCTGCGAGTGTTGAGTGGTAGATATTTGTAGAGTGCGGTCGACTTGAATTGTTGTTGTGTAATGTGCATCTACTGTTTAATGTAGCATGGAATTGTAACACTTGCATGCTTTACATTTTTATTTAACCTCCTTGTCCTTCTAATTCAACATGAAGTTAGTAATGTTCCTCCCAGAATAAAAGAATTTCATGGACAATACCCCCAAAAAATGAAGATATAAAATTAGTGCTGCTTGCCTGAGCTCTCTAGCTATGCCTAATGGATCTGGGTTTTATTGCACTCTTCTTCTTGCCTTATTATTTCTAATCATAGGTAAATGGCTATAGGGTTGATGGAGTTGACTCTGTCTATGTTGCAAGTGGATTGCAAGTTTCTATAGTACATGTTATAAGACAGTATAATGCAAAGAATGCAGCTGGATCACCAAGTAGCAAAACAAACAACAGCAAGAGTGTTTGCAATTAGTTATGCCTTTTAATGGGTTCAGCTTTTGCTAAATTATTTAAGGCTGATAAAGAAAGAGAGAAAGGCAACCTTGACAACACCTTGATCTTTGTTTGGTTATTCTGCCATACTGTCCATCAATGGTCTTATCTGTCCTTCATTACATCAACAGATGTGGCAACTGCAAGGACAGATGTTACATGTATTTTGCTAAAACATGTTATTTTTCATACCCAGCCTCACAAAAGTTAATAGGACGGGCATAATCATGAATGTACTCGTTAATAAGGAACATTTGACAAGATTTAGATTGGCCATTATTTAATGTAGATGAATGTACTCAAACGTCTTGTCAATTTCAAGTTGGCTTGGAACAAGTTTCTTTAGTTCTGTTATGCTCTAATCTGAATCTTGAACAGTATCTTGTGACTCAAGCATTGGTCTCAGGCTTCTTTTTGTCACCATTTCTGACTATTTTAGCTTACATGTTGACAGTTTTGGTCATCTATTAAAGAAGTAGAAACTTTTCTGTTTAAAGTTCTACTTTTGCTGTAAAGTTGCTAGTATTTTGGTGATTAGCTTTAAAAATTGCTACAGGTTATTTGACATTCTTCTCCACAGGCTTATTTTGAGGAAGTTACTGCTATATTCTACTAATTAATTTTGATGATCAATTGGGTGCTTCGTTTATCTACTGTTCACCAGTTTTGATTCTCATTTGTTTGGACAGAATTCAGGTAGAGGTATGCTATAAAGCATTAACATGTATATTTAGTGCATATGTCAACATGGAGGTCAGTCTGTTGTTCCTTTAGTTATATACTAAGGAGGAAAAAGGGCAATACTTCGCAAGTTAGTTCTTCCTTTATTTATGAATCTGGGGAACATAAAAGGAGTCTTTGCTCTCTGTGTCAATGTTTTTCCCGTCTCTAATTTTTACTCCTTTTCTCTCAGGCGTCAAGAGGAAGCAGAACTGAAATTAATAGAAGAAGAAACTGCAAAAAGAGTTGAAGATGCAATTAAGAGAAAAGTTGATGAAAGCTTGAACAAGGAGGAGATCAAGCTTGAAATTCGAAGGCGATTAGAAGATGGTAGAAAGAAACTTGTGAATGAAGTTGCTGCTCAACTTGAAAAGGAGAAGGAATCTGCTCTTATTGAGTCGAAACAAAAAGAGGCAAGTTATTTTTGCTTAAATATATGTGGTTACCATGTCTTGGTCTTTTTCTTTTATATTAGCAGTTAGCATGTTTTTGTACCCTGGATAATAAATTTCATGTTCTCTGAGTCAATAGTTTCTGTTGCAATGTTTGTGCTTCCGAGATGGTGTCCAGATGTTCATCCTGTCATAAAAGATATTAGTGCACTTATTGTGATGGTTCTTCATTCCATCTATCATGAGCCTGCTATAAGGTTACACAGTCCGCTAATAATCCCATTAAAAAAGAAATGATTAAAACACCACAGAACCCTACAAAGAGGGGGGCAGGGGAAGGGCAGTGACCGTATGGTTTGACCCAATAGTTTTCTTGAACTTATACTGGTCCTGCTTGGTCGCCACGTTCTTCATTGATATTAAATTCGTATTGACAGTGAAAAGGGACTCTTTTTTTATTTTTTATTATTCATGTAGGAACAAGCTCGAAAAGAAAAAGAAGAGTTGGAAAGAATGCTTGAAGAGAAGAGGCGAAAAGTGGAAGAAGCTCAGAGAAGGGAAGCTATGAAGCAGCAAATGAAGGAAGAACAGCGTTATAGAGAACTGGAAGAGCTCCAAAGACAGAAAGAAGAGGCTTTGCGAAGGAAAAAACAACAAGAGGAGGAAGAGCGTGCAAAGCAAATGAAAGTGTTGGGCAAGAACAAATCCAGGCCCAAGTTGTCGTTTGCATTGGGTTTGAAATGATCTTATGACATTATTATCACGGTCATGATCTTGTTGATCATCAAAGGCAATTGGTTTTTCATTAGAGGTTGGGAAAACCAAGTTTTGTTGGATACCCTTTCTTTATGTTCCTCCATTTTTTCTGTAATCTTAAGTACTTGCTGAGTGAGTATATTTCCTTGGTCGTAGTTGGCTAATCAATGCACTGTTTTCAACTGATGTAATTTAGGGCCAACATTACTAGCAAGTTGTGATATTGTTGTTGTTACCAATTGGCTGCGTTTGTTCTCTTTCTTTCCTTATTTACTTGATACAGAAATTCTGAAATGAGAGGAAAACATATCCAGTGATATTCCACAAGTGATACTGCAAGAGTATAATGTATAGTTTACGATTCGGTGTTTTGTGCGTAGAGATTAGGTGTACGCTGACTGAAATGGATTGAATCGACAAATGGGCTAGTACTGCTCCACCCTGCCCAAAGAAATAGTTGGGCTTGGAGTTTTAGGCTGTCTTCATTTCTCTGCATGCTTCAAGAGAGAATATACTTGGCCAAATCAACTCGATGAGCTGAATTTGGACGAGTTAAAATGTATAGAGATTTTTACATAGAGATACAATGTTAGGGGGTGAAATTATCTGTTTTAGAGGAATAACCTGTTTTTTAAAGAAGCATCATTTCTACAAAATATATACCATCTGATAAAATCAACAACCGGTAAAACATATAATTGGCATACAAAAATATACAATTACGTTTTTATGTGTCTTTAATATATTGAACATATAAATAACTTTACACCCGACATACAAAAATCAAAATACATAAATTTATTGTTCATCTTCCTCTTCAAGTTTCAATATGAAATTGATATTTAAATTTCAAATGATATTTTCAATCGTTTGCAACTGCACCCAATCTAAACATATGGAGTAACAATTTTGCATAATTTGATTTTGAAATTCAAGTATTTGAAACTTCTTTATAAAGTTTTTTTTTTATAATGAAATTTACGACTTTGAGTGAGAGAGAAAAAGAATGAGAAGATTACAATCTAATCTCTCACTTTTTATTATTTTACTACAATAAATAAAGAGAAACATTATTTTATTTTGTAATGAAATGTAAGTAGCTCAAAATAGAGTTATAATTAGAACATAAAAATAGCTTATTCATGGAAATTCCCTTTATGAAATGGAGTGAGACAGCACAACCAAGACACACATGCACAACAAATTATACCAAATCCATTATCAATTTATACCAATGTCTTTTTGTAAAGCAATGTGATCGATGAAAATTCATAAAAGTAAATAATCCAGCCCACTTTATTTAGGATTGAAGCATAGTACTATTGTTGGGAATACTCCCGCCAATGGCCAACCCTAATATTCACTCGGGTCAAAGCGAGTTTGCATGTTAAGTAAATCAAATGTTCTATATGTACAAATTCAATTTGATCGGATTTTTAAGATAATACAGTTTTATCTCTTTCTCTATTTCCCGAAAAATTATTTTACCTAAAATTTAATATCACATAACTTTATAATAATTCCGCAAATCTTCTTTATATTAGAAGTTCCATATCGGTAGAGGGATGGGAAGTTGATCTCCTTATATGGACTTGGACAAATCTCTCCTCATGAATTAGCTTTTGAGGCTGAGTTAGGTCCAAGTATCATATCTTTACAACAATTTTTTGAAATAAAAGACTAAGCGGTAGCTGAAAATTCTCTAATTTTTTTTTTTGGAATATAGAAAAATGAACTTGGAGCCGAGAGAGGTGCTAACTTTAGCTTACTGAAAACATAATTCTAATTATGAAGGTATAAACTATAAAGGTCAACAATTAGGATAAATATTAGTATGTGGGCGAAATGGTCACACTAAATAGAAAGAATATCACATAAAATAAGATTTAAAAAATATAATTTATTGCTTTATTTGATCTTTTGAGCCGAGTGTCGATTGAAAACAATTTCGAGAAAGATAAAGGTAAAATCTTCTCAAATTACTGGGTCCGTATGGTTATTATATTTGAAAATGTTATTAAATGTATAGTTTGGGGGGTAGTGAGCTGTCAAAAAAAAAAAAGGTCTGGCAAAAAGAGAGCGACACCTCTTATCATTAACTCATTATTACCCTATTTTCCCACCACCTTTCTTGTCTCGTCTTTGCATTGGGACCCACTTTTAAATAACAGTGGAATGGGACCCACTAATTTTAACTAGTCTCTGAATTTTAAGCGAAAGGTGGTTGGTGTGGGTACAACCTGTATTTAATTCAGATTCGGGTCAAGTCAAGTCAATCGGGTCACCCATAATGGCGCGTGTTGCGACTGGGATTTAAGTTAATTGTAGAATCCTAATTGGATTTTGGAGTTCCCGGGTCCTCCGGTACCGCTGACAAAACCCGAATCATTTATTTTTTTTTGGGAGTCAAAAAAACAAATTTTACCTTTTTTTTTTACTTCAATTATAAAAGTATTGGAGGATGGAGATTGCTTGTTATTGTGGAATTGCTTACGTATTGACACTTTCTAATTCAAGAATTGTATTATGCTTCTTTTACATGTTGAAAAGGAAATATCATTGTATTTTGAGCCTTCCCTATTCTCCAAAAAAATATATGGGTTTTTTTGTCTCTTTTGTTTTTATTTTACAATATTTCAACAAAAATAAGATAATTTAAAAGGAAGAAGGGAAAGATGCATTGTGACAAAACAATTTATTTGAGTTCGAGTCACGAACGAGGGGGTAAATAAAAAAAGAAGGGGTTTTGTTCTAGTTTTAATTTATTGTGTATACGGAGTATTATAGATAAAACTTCCATTGTAAGCTTTAGGGTCAATGAGAGTTCTTTACCCTATTAAAAAAATGACGGGGTACAATCAGATTTATTTGTGACATTCGTTCTCTATGGTAATATTTTATTAGTTATAACAATAATCATATTATTCGTGGTACGTGGAATCAATATTTCATGATTTTATTTATGTTACAAATCAAAATATATTGATCGAGACAAGTAATATTGTTAGAGAGGTTTGACTGGATTTATATTGGATCTAGGGAGTTGAAACAAAATCTGTTCCAGTCTAAATTATCACTACGACTTACTTTAATTTTGACTTATTAAGAACTTAATTATGGAAACTACCAATTAATATTTGGCGTTATTATGTATATATATATATATATATATATATATATAC